ATTATTATTATTATTACTATTAGTAGTAGTAGTAGTAGTAGTAGTAGTAGTAGTAGTAGTAGTAGTGGTACGTAGTAACAATAACACCCATCGCAAAAACAAAAAAAAAAACATCTCGAAGCTTAGCAACGCAGATTTTCGACATGCAGGCATCCAAGCTCAAAAAGGACAAGAGCAGGATTCCCTGTTTGGAATCCTCTTTTCCAGGATTGTCGCTCAGACTGCCCGGGGTCGCTTGTCCCCCCGGGACAGGAGCAGCACCGCCCTTCTTGGCGTGGACACTTCGGGGCTCGCCAGGGCGGCTTCCATGTCGGCCTTTCGCTTCCTGAGGAAGCTGGCGAGGGTCTCTTTCTGGGTTTGGACAGCGAGCTGTAGGGCTGTCGTTCCATCCGGCATGCATGCGTCGATATTGGCACGAGCTTCCACCAGCAGCTTTACAGCCTCGAGGTGTGTTGCCTCACAGAGCTTGTTTAGGTAATCGTGGTTGTCCCATCTCCGTGCTGCAGGCTTCGTTTCACCACAAACAGCATGAAGGGGAGTCCGTCCAGTCGCATCGGCTCTGTGAACATTTGCACGCATCCCGATCAACTTTCTGATCCGCAGTATGTCGCACTCAGAACATGCCCGCATCAGTGCAGTCTCCCCGGTCTCTATGTCAACGGCATTGAGATTCGCCCGCCACTTGAGTATGAGCCTGAAGTTCTCCTCAGCTCCAGTTCACAGGCCAAAAATGTCTAGACTTTCTGATTCACCAAACTTAAAAAGCGTAAACTGCACCTACTCAGCTACCAAGTTGCCGGGGCGGAGTACCTTTGTGTCCCCAGGTACACCAGTGAGTTTTCGATCGGGCCAGGGTCCGAAAGACTCGCTCTGGCAACCAGCAAGGCTTGCAGTACGGCGTTTGCAGTGCTATAAGGGCCCCGCATGTGGTTTCTGACCACGTGAAAGAGCGGTGCTTCCACACCACCTAGGTTGGGATCTGCACGAAGATCGAGCAGCGTTTGCACTAGCTCCACGTCGCTCACGTCAATAGCTTTTCGGAGCGGCGTCTTACCGTAACTGTTCGTCGCAGTGAGATCTGCTCGTCCGTGAATTAGCGCGGAAACGATCTTGCGTCTCCTCTGTTGGGCTACTTCTAGTGACCACTCATACCTCTGTTCAATAGCTTGAAATATCGGCGTGCCGGTAGCCTCGAGTTCCGCACATTTGAATTTAGGTTCCCAGCCCATGTACATGTAAGGGGTTCCATTCAGCTCACTGCCCGCTTCCAGCAACACTTGCACAGCTGCGAGGCTTCCGCACGAAATGGCAGCTTGCAATGCAGAGCGAGGATGCTTCGGGCAACGATGGTCAGGATTAAGCAGCTTCCGCAGCAAGGCCTGGAAGTTTCTGAACATTAGGGTACCTTATTTTGGGGGTCCTTATAATAGGGATCCTATTATTTAGGGTACTATATTAGGGTCCCCTATTTTCGGAAACCCCCGCCTCTGTTCTTGCCGAATCATACCGCTCGATGCCCCTCAGCAGCTGGCCGTGATACTGGCAGGTGGCCTCCTCATCAAAGCCTAGCTTCACCAACTGAAGGCAGCAGGGGACGTGCGTCAGCAAGTCCACATCGTCTTGTAGTTCAAGACCCAGGTGACTAAGAATCCTCTGGCGAAATCTCGGCAGCCCAATCACACTTTGTAAGTGGCTTTTGAGTGCACGAACCGTGCTTCCCTGGTCGGAAGCCAGCTTTCTGAACTCGTCGTTCGTGAGGCTCGCCACTGTTTCGCCAGACACGGCAAGGATGCTCAACATGGCAGCCCTAAACCCTAAACCAGCACCGAAAGTTGTTCTAACTTCAAGGACGCTTAGCCTGCTAGGCTGCTCTGGCCTGCGGGGCCGTTTCTGCCTTTGAGCCGATGATACATACATACATATATATATATACACACAGATAATATGATATGTATATATGCATGTATGTATGGATGTATGGATGTATGTATGTATGTATGTATGTATGTATGTATGTAGCGGCATCGATCCAGAAGGTGCCATCCTGCCAACAGGCTCCGTGATGCCCGGATGCACATGTGAATCCTGGAGCGTCAACTGAACAGTGAGTCATGGAACCATTATTGTCTTTGTTGATTATTACGCTTACGTTTCTTATTCTTATTGTTGTTGCGATTATAAATATACCCTAAACCCTAAACCCTAACCCCTAGAACCCTAAACCCTAAACCCTGAACAGGCCAGAGGGAGCTTCCCGAAGCAAAGGCACCAGAGAAAGACGTGAAGAACGGCGCTTACCCAACACCCATCATGACCCCAACTCTCTCGTCGCCAGGCCTCTTTGAGGTATCTGGCAGCCGAAGGCTTTTTCTCATGCCCATGGTGGACCTGAGTGTTTAGGCTGGCGGATTTTGGAGGGGGGCCATGCATTATTGGAGTCTGCTGCCGAAGGGTTGAAAGTGGAGGGCGTTAGCATTACAGCAGCCGCCGAAGCCAAGAACAGATTCGTATATTCAGCACCTGCTTACAATCCAGGTACAACCATGTCTAGATGATAGAAATATGAATATAAATACACATATTAATATCAATATGAATATGAATATTAATATATATATATATATATATGATATATACGCATCTGTACAAAAGCTGTCATGCACAAGGAACAACATACAGTGACATGCCATAGGGTTTAGGGTTCAGGATTTAGGGTTTGGGGTTTAGGCTTTGGGGTTTAGGGTTTAGGGCACACTTAATAGTTGGTCTTGTTCCTTTAAAGGCTTTCTTCCACAGCGTCCGTAGAGAGCCCCGAAACAGGCGAGTAGTCTAGGGTTTAGGGTAGTTAGTAGAGTTCGATAGACGTATCAGACGAAAGTCAGTACAAAACATAGTGAGTTGATGACATGCTGTAGGTGCAACAGGTACAGACATCTAGGAGTATACGGATCGTAGATACCATAGGTCCAAGTATGTCGGTGTCATTAACACAAGACCGACATCCGGAAGGTTTGCGCAGAAGCATGTGACTCCATAGATATATACACAGACACAACGATAGGTGTAGGTATAGACACAGATATAGATACAGATATAAATACGTGTTTAGATATAGGTTTAAGGTTCAGATAAGCAAATAGGTAGCGAGATACCGGAACATTTAGAAAAGTCTTAAAGTGAAGTAATGGAACAATGTCTCGCTTACTCCTCCGCATAATTCTTCGCGCGTACGTAGATAGATAGACAGACAGATAATTAGATAATGACGGATCGACAGATCGATAGACAGACGGATAGATAGATAGATCGATAGACGGATGGATAGATAGATAGATAGATAGATAGATAAATCGATAGAACGATAGATAGATGGACACATAGAAAGATCGCGATATCCCAGGACTTGAAAGAAACTGAGGCAATGGAAGAGTGCTTTCTTTGCTATTCCTCGCTTGACTGTTTCCACCAAGAACCCGGCAATCGTGCGCATGAGCCACTTCAGGTGGTTCTCCATGGCCTTAGTTCATAGGCTCTGGGTACTAACCAGGTACTACCTTAAGAAACATTAGCAGTTCCTCTCCTGCGACGGCCCCGTGCTGTATGAGGTGTTCTCCTAACTACTACGTACAAACAGACTCACATACCATTAAACATCCTCATACAATCTGTTTAGAGGTAAACATTGCCGAAGTTGTCTGCTTCTGTGCTGATAGCTGCATTGCCTTGCCTACTGGTAGGACCACGAGGAAGCCAGCGACCGTGACCATCACGACGAAGACTTCAAGTACTCCTCCCCCTCCTCCTCCTGATGCTCCTCCTCCTCCATCCCCACCGGCTTCTGCCGACTGGCGATGAAGTCTGCCCATCTATATGCTATGATGGCACATAAGACGGTGATACATACCTTACCCTACATACATAAGATGTGTATATGTATAATTCGTTAATACAGTGTGCATAGGAAACTATCTGTGTGTACAAAGGCATGAATAAACAAACGTGGGCGTGCATGTGTGTATATATGCACAGACATCCTGACGTACATAGACATACGTGCATGCATACATGCATACATGCATACACATACATACATACATACATACATACATACATACATACATACATACATACATCCCTACATGCACACACATACATCCATAATTACATACACATCTATATATATATACACACACATGCACACATGCATGAGTACATGCATACGTACACACGGATAGACTGACAGACAGACTACATACATGCAGACACAGGCCTGCCCCAGGCCTCAGATGCTCTGGTCCTTATGCGAACGGAAAGCTCGAGAAAGCCGAGGATGGCACAAGAAAAAGTCACTAAAACCTGGAAACCCTAAACATATGATCATGCACGATGCTCAGTATGCGTCTATGTCTGCAACCTCTATATACATGAGCATATATAGATATATGCAATTTTCTTTACTTATTTATATTTACATAACATATAAATCGCACGGCAAGCGGGTAGTAAGTACACAATGACCCGCAACTGTCTCCAAAGCTCAGAGCCGAACGGTACCACTGAAGGCGCGCAGCCCCGACGAGTAGGCCGTCGCAAGGAAGTTCAGGGAATACTGTCCGGGCCTTGGCCCGTGCGATGTGCATGAAATTTAGATAAATCTCCAAAGTTCCAGGATTGGGGTCTCAGACTTTACCATCACTGTTTCACTAATACCATTCCCACAACAACAAGTACTACTACTACTACTACTACTACTACTACTACTGCTACTGCTACTGCTACTGCTACTACTGCTACTACTACTACTACTACTACTACTACTACTACTACTGGCTGGCTACGCT